AGTCTTAGTTGCTTGGGTCACAACAATTTTTAGGCCTACTGTCAACATAATTCGTTGGACCGATCTTCAAGATTCCTTTATTTTTCATGTGTAGGTTAAAGTTTTATTCTGAGATGATGATATTATGTTAATTATGTTATGTAGCAAATATTATATGAGATATCATAATGGTTGCTGTACATTTGCGTGCGATAAAGGCAAATTGTTACGTTGCTATAGGGCTAAGCTAGATGAAAATGTGCTTCCCACACTGTCTTAAAGATAGTACATTACATTTCACTGCAATGAAGGATTGCGCTCTGACGTAGTTTTGATATGCTACATTTATACATCTATTCATAATGCTAGTGTTGTAGATACTACCGTATCACTGTATCACTAGGTAACTATGCCATCCTGTTTGTGATATTTAGAGACTCCTGTTATATAGTTGTTTTATAAATTATACTGCGTCCTCTCTCAGTTTCGAATCAATTTGCGTTTCCCCAGCTGCTTGGCGGCTCACCAGTTTTCAAAACTAAAAATACCCAACTCCTGCCTCCTGTGAACTTCGACCTCTTCAAACTGCACGGCGGCAGAACATGTGAAATTTTTCGGGTGAACAAAAAGTTAGATTATTTGATTCATAGTGGTAAGTATAGGTTAGCTTATGTTTTCAGATAGGGAAGATAGGACTTCTTTGGGTCATGAAGTCGAGGAGGAACCAAGAGGTTACTATGGTGGTCAATCTGATAGACCAGAGCCTAGGCCTCAAGATGATTTTCGTCATAAACTACAGAAAAGTAGCTCAGGTACAGCTGGTCCTCCTTGTTTTTCAACCGAACCAATGGTGGCTCTACTGACAGAAATGCAGACAAGCCAAATGAACACTTTCAAGTCCTTGGTACAAGAGACAATGAAAGCTTTAGGTGACAATGACATATATAGGTTGTCACGGCCAAGGTCAAAACAGGGTCTAGATAGGCCTTCTCGGAAACGGGGTTTTCGAGATGATAGTAGTAATAGCTCAAGTGAAGAGAGCTATAGACGATTCCGATCTAGGTCTCCCTCTGAATCAAAATCGCAGGCCCAGGCAGACGTAAGGGTAGATTGGGCGTCTGAAAAAGGCGAACAGCCCCCACAAAACAAATATGAAAGCATATCTATGAGCTTAAAAAAGCCTCAAGAGGGAAAAAAGGTACCCTCTTCGATGCAACCATCCTTGAATGGTGGCGACAACAGCGGACTCACCTCTTAGATCAGTTCAAAAACAAAGAACAAAAAACGAGCTGCTGGAAGGATTGAAACCAGATCAGTTCAGTAGAAGAATTTTTCAAGGCACCGGATATGCCAAAACCTCTCAGGTTTTTAATAAGAAAGTCGAATTATAAGGCTTGGAAGAGTGATAACTCTATTTGGTCAATCTAAGAAGACCTTCTGAGAGCGGCCCTGCCATTACTTAAGGCCATATAGCTTAGTAAAGGAACAAGTGAGACTGTAGCCCGTCAACACTTGACAACAGTCTTAAGTTTGTTAGGGTCAACAATACAGAGAATGTCAGTTTATCGACAACGGCATTCTGTGCCTTTCTTAAAGGAAGGTTACCTGAGGAATGTGTCCCCATCAATCTCCTTGCTTTTTGGCGATGAGTGGGCACAAAAAGTTGAGGAGGAGGATAAATTACATAAAGTAACCCAGAAAGTGGTGAAGGTAGCAAGGTACGAGAATACCAAGATTAAACCAAAGGGTAAAGTTTCTCAGGTGATAAGAAGCTATGGTCGAAAGACAAGTTGCCAGTAAATAGATTTGGAAAAAATCAGTACCGACCATATAAAAAGCACAGCCAAGGTTCTTACTCCTTCTATGGTCAGGATTTGTTTCGCAACCAAAAGAATAACAGTAATTTCCAGGCAAAAAGGGACAACATTAGGTCCAAGAGGGTCCAATTCGGAAAATTGTTATGGGAATCATTATGCAGGAAATGTTCACTATCATTTGACAGCATGGGAAAATTTAACACAGGACTCCTGGATTTTGCAAACGGTAAAAGGTTACAAGATCAATTTTATTCAACAACCAATTCAAAAGAAACCAACAAATCAAATTATAATGAACAAGGAGCAGCATCAGGCATGCTCTCAAGAAATCCAAAATATGTTAAGGAAAGGGGCCATCAGAAAAGTAAACAACTGTCCAGGCCAGTTTATTTCCACAGTTTTTCTAGTTCCGAAGAATTCAAGGGGGTATCGACGGTGTTCAACTTAAGAAATCTGAACCGTTATATTGTAACACACCACTTCAAGATGGAATCTATCCACATGGTGAAACACCTAATCAAATCAAATCAAATCCATTTTATTGCAATCTGACAAGATAAAGTATCATCTTCACCAAATTGAAGTTTAACAATATTAAAACATCAATTATTATTAAAACAGCAATTGTTTAAACAATACATAAAATATATATATAAAAAGTAATTCTTAAGATGTTGTCACCGAGCGGCGCACCCGAATATTACCACTGATTAAAAATACCATGGTTGATAATAAATTTCTTGGATCTCTCTGTCTTTACCTTTGGGAAAGGAAACCGAGTTGTTTTCCTGAGGTTATAGGTGATGGTACTTTCAGTTGGCAAGAGATGGTATAGTCTGTGAGAGGGACATTTAATTTTTCCAAAATATTGTTGGCATAATCGGGTGCGGCGTTCAGTGAGAACGGGGAGACCAGAGATTTCAAGGGCCCGATTATAACTAACCCCAGGGAGGCTGATGCGAAGCGCTCTTCTTCGAATTTGTTCAAGGGCTTTAGACTGAGCATCAGATATGCAAGTGCCCCAAACAGGGAGAGCATACTCCAAAACAGGGCGAATAATACTGACGTAGAATTGGGCAAGTTCACCTACCCCCAGCCCTGCTCTACGTAGTTGTTTAAGAAAATATAAGCGGGTATTACATTTAGCCAGTAAGGCTTCAATATGCAAATTCCAACACAGATCGGAAGAAATTATAACACCGAGGAGCTTCGAATGCCTACCGAAAGTTTTATTTAGCAATGATTTATCAGCAA